TTTATTCTGGTTAGGATCCATTGCTGGGGAGCTGGCGTGATCCTTTGGAAGTGATGAAACACTCTGGCTATTTATCTTGCTAGAGTCCTTGTACTATTTCTATCTCATCTGAGGTAGCTGGTATTCTTTTTTTTAATTTGCTACTATTTGGATGGGGCTCTTTGCATTTTTTCCTTCTTTTTTCCCTTGTGGTTATGTCTGGTGTATGTTGTATATGGTCAATTGGCTTTGTTTCTCTGTGCTTTCAGAGGGTCACAGCTCTGTATGAATTCCTTGGTTCCAGAGTGATGCCTGTAATGACTTTCTCTGACATTGCTTGTTTTAAGGAGGAACATATCTTTATGTTTGTGGTGTATCTCAGGCTGCAGTTTAATAGACAGTGCTTACCAGAAAGAACTGACAGTCAGGACACCCCAGAAGCTAAGAGCCAACTGGAAAGAGTAGATGGGAGTGCTTTCTTGTTCCCCTCATCCCCCCAACAACCTGCTAACTGCTAAACAACCCCTCTGCCCCTAGGACCCAGGACTGCACTATCTGTAGCAGTTGGAGCTCTTCCCAGGAACGGAAAACAAGGAGGCCAGCTGCATAGCATGCTACATCCTACCTCATGCCCAGACCAGGAAGTGGGTCCCATATTGGTTGCCCACCCACAGTGACATTGCCTTGCCTGGTGATCATCTGCCTGTGATCCACTATACCACCAGATCACCTGCAGACTCCCCCATAATCTGCCCTGCCTCTGACTAGCACAAGTCTAGCAGGTCTCTGGGTTATAATGGGCCTCTTGGGGATATAACTTCAACCTGTACCACCCTGAAGAGAGGGGGAATGCAGCCTGCTGAAGCCCCTCTTGGGACAAAAGGAATGTGGGTGGCACCAGTTGAAGGAGGCAGCACCAAAGCCCAAAAACATACTTGAAGAGGGGACCATCTCTTGCCCCCCACCCCTTTCCCCAGTGCACAGTTGCAAACCCAGGGCAGCTTTTCCTGTTGGAACCCAGAAGCTTTGGGAAAGGAAACCAGTTCCATCCTTTTCAGGGGTTCTACCCCCTCCAAACAGACAAGAGCACACAGGCGGAAGGCACTTATGTCTTATCTGCCCCCAATACTGAGGGCCAGCTCATGAAGACTGAAGAGCCTATCAGCCAGCTCTTCTCTTAAGAGTTGAACTTTATGTAAACATGTAAGAGGCAAGACAGGTTATTCAAGTTATTAAATTGAGACTATTCTTGTAGCTAAACATGAATAGGGAATTTTCACTCTGCAGGACAGCAAATATACTGTTAGATCTTACTGAAAATTCATTCAGGAGCAGAAAGAACCATATGGACAGTAGGTGAGAAGGGTAGGAACCCAAGATTTTCTGATTGAACTCAGCAAATCCTAGTTGTTCAGTGTACTAATAACATAGGTCTTAGTCTTTCCTTCACAGCTGGAATTTAGAATATGAAATTGTATGTTTAGTGGAGATTATAATAACTAATTATAGGAGGCAAATGCATAATAAAATAGTATTTGTGCTGAAGAGTATGAGCTTATAACATATAACATTTATTCAAATATGTTTACCCTGTCATCTGGTAGTTTAATAAGCCCCTTTCCTTAATATCTTGCATTACAAAAGTTGCCAGTTAATGTTTGACTTTGGAATAGACCTAATCCTAGTTCATTTTAATATGTGACTTTGAATTTCAAATAATCCTTCTAGTTTAAATACCAAGCAGACTCAAGAAAGCTGAGTTCATTTTAAGACCTGAACATGGATTCTTATTTTATTTGTAGAAAAATTTTAATAACCTCAGAGATTTCAGACTAAATACCATAAAAATGAAAAAGAATTTTATTAATATATTTCTAACTCAGTAATGCCCCAGTAATATTTATAAGAAAAGCAAAGGAACTTCCATTGGAGGTCTGGAAAATCGCATATGAAAAGTCTCATTTACATAGAGCTACAATCATTTTGGTTTTCTGAAGCTACATAGCACATACCTGGTCTTCAAACTTTGATATGCAGCATTGCCTGTGGTCTCAAGCACGTCATTTTCAATCTGAGAAGCACTATTCAGCTACTAAAAAATCATACATTGTCCCACCAGGTTCTTTAGAGCTGCCACCACCTCCTTGTTCCTCAGGCTGTAGATGAGAGGGTTTAGCATGGGAGTGAGGATGTTGCTGAACACAGAGAGAGCCTGATCCTGCTCTGGACTATGAGAAGAAGTGGAAGTCATGTAGATGAATATGTTTGGGCCAAAGAAGAGACTCACCACTGTTAGGTGGGAAGAACAGGTAGCCAGGACTTTTTTCCAGCCCTTGACAGAGTTCATATGGAAGACAGTGAAGAATATGAGAGTGTAGGATGCTGTGATGAGACTAAAGGGCAAAACAAGCAGCACAATGCTTGTCACCACCACTACTAACTGATACACTGAAGTATCTTCACAGGCGAGCTTAATGAGGACTGGAACCTCACAGAAGAAGTGGTGTATCTCCCTTGACCCACAGATACTAAAATGCATTGGGTAAACTGTATGGATAAATGAACTTACAGAGCCTCCAATCCAACACCCAGCAACTGTGTACAGACAGAACCTTGGGCTCATGATCGTGGGATAACACAGTGGGTTGCAGACAGCCACATAGTGATCATAAGCCATAAGGGTCAAGATGAAGCACTCTGACATTCCCAACATCAAGAAGAAGAAACTCTGGATTCCACAGCCAATCCACGATATGGTCTTTTCCCCTGTGAAAAAGCTAAAAGCCATCTTTGGGACAATGGTGGAGGTTAATGTCAAGTCAATGAGGGAGAGTTGACTGAGGAGAATGTACATGGGTGTATGGAGATGAGAATTCCCCCAAATCAAGAGAATCAGAAGTATATTTCCAAGGAAGGCAAGGATGTAGGCAAAGACGATCATGGCGTTGAGGATAACCGAATGCTGAAACTCAGGAAAGAGTCCCACCAGTATCCCACCAGTATGAAGTCAGTTACGGAGGACTTTTTCCCACCTACCATGCCTGCCAGAGTCCTATTCCTGCTGGGTGTGAGATTTCCTGAAGGAGAGACGGAGTAGGTGAAAGAAAGAACTTACGACGAAATAATATACTTGGACACCTGCTTGCAGGCCAGATGCCTGCAGGAGAGATGACATTTACTGTTAGTTAACAGAAAGCTTTTATACCGTTCGTAAAGGGGCAAGACAAAGAAAATTCCTTCACGTACATTAGTTTTTAAAAGTTACCACCATCTAGTGGTCTTAGAAGCAATAAACAAGCCAAGAACACTATCTACTTTCAGTCAATGAGTCTTATTCATAAAGCCAGAAATGATAGTTTTAGCCCAAAGTCCCAAATTACAGTCCTTGAAATGTCTCAAGAAGGTTTCCAAGTGCACATTTCTCCATGTATCAGGAGTTTTCTCTCTGGAGCTTCTATGACCTTCAAAGCTTTGTAATCGCCTTTCTTGTCCAGGTATCTTCGTTACTTTTCTCTTATCCTGCAGTGTATATTTCTAAAGAAAACCCCAAAGAAGCTTTTAGTGATGTTTCCCAGGCCCCCAAGGTTGCTCTCTGTATTTAGTTAATTTATCATAAAAGTATCCAATTAGTATAATATGAATTCAGTGAAAACCCACTCTATATGTGTTAACTAAAAATTTTAACTATTGAATTAAGTAAAAACCTTAACGATTAATCTTCATCCTAAATCTATGAAAACAGTGTTATAAATCACCTACATAACTCCCAGATAAGTATTAGAACTTATAATGAATTCATAATGAACTTACTATAAACTTGTGCTTCTAAAAATCCTTATGTCTAAACACTAAACTACATAATTCTAAATCAAATGAGTGAATATACTTATATCATTTTTACTCAAGCAATATTTAGTAACTTATAGCCAAGTGAAAGAAAGCATTCTGGATGTGCTTCAGAGTTCAGCCATTGCATATGTTAGAAAAGGCCAAATGGCATAGTGGGAAATGGAAAAATGAACCATAACATTCCTAGGTTAGCTGTGAGTACTTCCCATAAACATGCCATTTTCTTCTTCCACGACTGCACAGAATTCTTTGGCCATACCAACAGCAAAGACAGAAGACAAAAGGACTTCAGCTGCCGGAACTTGCTTTGCGGCCTGGGGTCCTCAGCGCACCTGGACTTTGTCAATCAGGCTGGCCTCCAAGGCTGGCTCCCAACACATGCCTCTATAAGAAATCCAACAGGAGTGGGTAATGAATAAAATGAATTAGAACCACTGACATTTGGTACCTGTGGGTCAAAAATTTTATAACTTTCTTTCCAATTCTAGGTCTTCAGATAATGTCTACCATCATCTGATCAGAGACATTTTACCATAATTTGTTGAACAATTGCCTAAACTTTAGTTAATAGAGGATATTGAAAAGAATAATAAACTTCAGTGCCTCTTATCTTCCACTGAGTTGACTTTCTTCTTTTTTTTTTATTGGATAATTTTTTAAAAATAAGTTAAACTGTATGGAATTAAATGCAAACAAAATGTTAATTAAACAAGTAATTTAATTAAATTAACTAAAATACCAATTTAATAAAGCAGTGTATAGTTCTAAATCTTAAACACAATACTCATTTAATTTCTAAACCATTCTGTGAGGTATTTATCTTTGTGGAATCTGAAGTTTTATGTAACTTTCCCAATGTCACACAGAAGTTTCAGAGGTTAGAAGTTTCAGAGCTTAGACATGGTCCCAAGTGATTTGGATCCAGAACCATTGACCTTGAACATCATTTTTCATCCAGCTTTTCAGCTTCTTCTCAGAACACCTTGAACCTTGTAAAAACTGTGGACCCACTTTTTAGAAATAGGCACCTGGCCAGGCTTGGTGTCTTAGCCCGTAATCCTAGCACTTTGGGAGACCGAGGCAAGTGGATTATCTGAGCCCGCAGGTTTGAGACCTGCTGGGGCAAGTTGGTGAGACCTTGTCTCTGCAATAAATAAAAAATTAGGTGCGTCGACGTCGGCCCGCCCGCCAGGCTGCTTCCACGGGCCGTGCTCGCTCTCTCGGGCTCCGGGGGCCGGCGCCTCTCACGCTCCGCTGGCTTTTGGGCCTTGGGTCTCCGCCTGTCTCCCCGCGGGCCGTGGCGACATGAGCAACAAAGAAGGATCAGGAGGGTTCAGGAAAAGGAAGCATGACAATTTCCCACATAACCAGAGAAGAGAAGGGAAGGATGTTAATTCGTCTTCACCCGTGATGCTCGCCTTCAAACTATTTCAACAGGAACTTGATGCAAGACATGACAAATATGAGAGACTTGTGAAACTTAGTCGGGATATAACTGTTGAAAGTAAAAGGACAATTTTTCTTCTCCATAGGATTACGAGTGCTCCTGATATGGAAGAAATATTGACTGAATCAGAAATTAAATTGGATGGTGTCAGACAAAAAATATTACAGGTAGCACAAGAGCTGTCAGGGGAAGACATGCATCAGTTCCACCGAGCCATTACTACAGGACTGCAGGAATATGTGGAAGCTGTCTCTTTTCAACACTTCATCAAAACACGATCATTAATCAGCATGGATGAAATTAATAAGCAGTTGATATTTACAACAGAAGATAGTGGGAAAGAAAATAAGACCCCTTCCTCTGATGCACAGGATAAGCAATTTGGTACTTGGAGACTGAAAGTCACACCTGTTGATTATCTTCTGGGAGTGGCTGATTTAACTGGAGAGTTGATGCGGATGTGTATTAACAGTGTGGGGAATGGGGATATCGACACCCCCTTTGAAGTGAGCCAGTTTTTACGTCAGGTTTATGATGGGTTTTCATTCATTGGCAACACCGGACCGTACGAGGTTTCTAAGAAGTTGTATACCTTGAAACAAAGACTGGCCAAAGTGGAGAATGCTTGCTATGCCTTGAAAGTCAGAGGTTCAGAAATTCCAAAACATATGCTAGCAGATGTATTTTCAGTTAAAACAGAGATGATTGATCAAGAAGAAGGCATTTCTTAGAATCACATTACTGTTGTTATTCTCTTGGGAACTCCCAAGAAAGACCAATTTTTAAGACTGTTATCTAGTATTTCATTTGACTTTATTGTGGCTTTTACATAGAAACATTTTTAGTTGTACTTGTTTTAAATTGTATACAAGCTGTACATAAAATTACCCAAACGAGTCATTTCTTATACCTTAGTCATGAAAGTTTGTGTACAAATGTTTGCATATATGCCTGTTTGCATTTTTGCTGGTTAACCTTCTTCATTTATCTTTGCAATGTGAACATGCTTTAGAGTGCACTTTCTGCCATGCCTATTTTAATTTACTTTGTATGAATTTTGGAATGGTAATTTTTAGTGGAAGCCATTTATAATTTAAGTTGGCGATTTATTGTATATAGAAAAGACTTTTTAGTTAAACTTCTTTTTTAGTTTAAATGTCTTGTTAATATTGTGCCAAGCCTTCCAAATAGGCTTATTCCATGGAAGAAGAGTTAAAAATTAAACAGCTACCAATATGCTTTAATTTAAGTACAAGTTCATGAAGTATTATAGTGAAAATTTATATTCTTAATTTGGCTAATTTTAGGCCATTTAAAATTTATATGAAACAGCGTTCTAGAAAAATTGACATATTCACATTTTACTTTCTTCATTTTTTGTCCTTTATCACAGAAGATCAGAGAGAGAATTGGAGCTAACATTATAATATTTTCACTGGTTAAGTTGAATTGGTTTATATACTTACACATACAACTGAAAAGCTTTTAGTAGTGATTATTTAGCAGCTTTTTTGTTGTCATTATATTAGGCATGTTTGGAGGCTTCCCCGTTCTAATATTTATTACAAATTACATTTATATAATTGTAATGAAGTTTTGAAATACTAAGTTAATCCAAACCTTTATAGTTATCCTATGGTGTTAATTGAAAAATTACATAAAAGTTGCCAAAGAAAATGCATCATGTACAATTCAGCAATAAGACAATTGTCAACACAGTTGAGGATAACAATGGTGGTCTCTAGTAATATTTAAAATCAGAATTTACCTACTGAAGTTCTAGATTATTACTTATGAGATGAAACTGACTTGAGCATGACACTATTGGCTAACAAGCAGACATTTCTAAATGATTTTGTGAATTTTGAGAATCTAGGTACTGGATTTTATTTTTTAAAGATTAGCTCTGTTTGTAAGGGCTGGTTCTTTGAAAATGTAATATTCAAAAAAAAGATCAC